ATTCAAGATGGAGAACAGTAGATGCCATACGGAAGGTAGAAATTTGCGTTTGAACTGCGATGGATGGTTGATAATTACAGAATATCCCATCCTATTGATGTCAGGACAAATCTCTTCATCGGAAATAAAATCATCATAGTCATCTTTGCCAGGTACGGAATCAGGTTTCGGCAGGTTCAGAATTCTCTGAAATCTTTTTAGCGTCAGACGGCCTAGGAAATGATCAACATGTACTTAAAAATAAAATTTGTTTCCTTCCTTGATGAACGATAGTGTATGCCAAAATTGTTGTAGATACACTAGTAGGACATCAGCTGTTGTGGTACATTATCTGAATTCTCCAACTCTTGTTATTGTACAAGATTACTTATCTCCCAAACTAGTTTATCGCTCAACTAGCTTATAGCCTAACTAGCTTATCTCCCAAAATTATCTTATCGCCCAACTCTGTTTACCATCCAAGATGTTATCGGACAGGAAGTTTGTTTATCGCTCAAGACTTGAGCGATAAAGACTTCTCCGGATAGAACTGAGCGATGAAGGAGTTTATGCCCAACGTTTTGAGCGATGAAGGGGGTTATCGTTCAATATTTGAGAGATAACAAAAGATACAAGTTTCAACAGGCGGTGAATAGATTATCGCCTAAAACACTAAGCGATGAAGATTAGTAATCTGACAACAAAGATATTCAATGAACAATGAAAAATCCTTATCGCTCAATGAATGTATTCCACGAGCGATGAAGGTAGCAGTTAATAGATTATGTAGAATGAATGCAAAAATACTCAAAATCACTCAATTAATGGATTAAACTTGCACAGAATGATTCAAGATATGACCAAAAACAAATTTCTAAACGCAATTTGTAACAAAAACAAATTAAAAATGATCGAATTTATCAAAATTGTCAAGAATAGTTTCAAAACTTCAAGATTCTAAAAATCCAAAATTGAAACACATAATCAATTCAATTATGAAATTGATTGATTCGAATAGATTCAGAAACTAAATTCAAACACCAAACAATCAAATTCAATTAAAAATTCAAACAGATTATTGAATTCAAGAATCAAAACAGTAGATATGGGTTCAACAAAAAGACTAGGCAATCTTGATCCAAATTCAATTCAAACTGTTACGATCTGATTCTCTGGTTGCTGTTTCCCTGCTCTGATACCAATTGATGTTCCAGATGTTAATCAATCGATCAAAAACTCCAAGAACAATTACAAGATCATCAATGGCAGATAACAGAAAAAATGTAGAGAGAGAGTTCTTCAAAGGTTTTGTGTATTGATCTTCAAAGATTACAACTCTTGAAAATGAAATGTTACTACAAGTTCTTACCAACCAACAAAGGAACTAAACTATTTATAAAAAGGAGAATACATAGCTTGAATACAACATTAAAGCACAAAGCATTGAACCCAACAAAAATATATGATGGGAAGTACCAACCACAACCTCACATAGCTCAAGAATAGCACAAGTTTCTGGGAATATTGATGTCATAAACAGAAATTCAACAATTTCTTGGCCTAGTAAATTATATGGTAGATTTTTTGCCTAAATTATCGAGCCACACTATGCACTTATTCTCCATGTTGAAGAAAAGTCCACCCCCTTGGAGTGAAAAACAGACATTAGTTATAAAGAAGAAAAAGCAACTAGCTAATGTGATGCCTCCTTTAAAGATCCCCACTGTTACTGACAAAAGAATCCTCCAGACTGACGCAAGCGATGAGTACTGGGGGCAATCCTAATAGTTAAAGACAAAGTCGGTGTCAGAACAACTTGTGGATACAAAAGTGGCACGTTCAAAGATTCGGAGCAACACTATCACTCTACCTTCAAGGAAATCTTAAGCAGTCAAGAGGGGAATAGAAAGATTCCAATTCCATCTAATCGGTCATGACTTGCATATTGAAATGGATATGTCTTCTTTTCCACACATGCTCCATTTTAAAAGAAAGATACTCACAGAAGCCCAACTTTTGAGGTGGGTGAATTGGTTTTCTCAATGGAAATTTACTGTGAAACACATCAAGGGGTCAAAAAATATTCTAGCAGATTTTCTTTCCAGGCCAAAGGACTATAAATATGATGTTCCAAAAGACATCCAGATAGTTCACAAAGCCAAGGTCCTTTTAATGGTGTTTCCCGTTGAGAAAGCAAGCTTTTCTAGCTCGTTTACTCTAAAAGCTTCTCAACATCTGCAACAGATCAATCCAGTTGAAAATATCACAACTCCACCACAGGTTCTACCGGATGAGATAACATAAACGATTTTTGGCGACCTTACCTTAAGAGAAATGTCTCAACTAAATTACAAAACGTGTCACGCTCAAGAAACATGGCATGTTCATGAGAAACCTCGAGTTCCATCCTGACTACCCTTTCCTCAATGTCTTCCATATCCATAATTTACATCGGTTCCTAAAAGAAGCGCTTTGTTTTTTTTTTTTGGTATCTATTCGAGTCTCACACCATGGCGATATCCTTCAACTCTGCCAAACAACTCAGTTACCTTTTCCAATGTCATTTCGAGGGTCCATTCCCAGGGGCACAAAATGTACTAACCCTTCTCCAATGGTTCCTCCCAGTGCATCAATGGACTCAAGTATTAGTTGTCTGCTATAAAATTTACGTTTTGGTCATGTTCAGGATGCCCTGCTCCTTTTTACCATATACGGCTCTCCGTCAGCAACAGTCATTGATCTACCACTCCCCACTATCATTCATCCACAAATGGATGATAATAACCCAGACGGTAAGTTCTTCAAGTTGTCCCATCCAGGAAAATATATAGAAACACGACGGATCCTGGCCAATGCTAACCTAGTAGATCCAGCATCAATCCAAAGCATATTATGAACAATGAGATACTCTGATCTTCTGAACATCCAATTTTCGCATCATGGGACAAAGCACTTGAACACTGGTTCCAAGCTCATCACTCGAAGAAATAGACATTTCCGATGATGAAGAATTCAAAGAGGACAACAGACATTAGGACCTGGGAGAAGAGCACTTTGATCCTTATGAAGACAATCCATCTCACCCCGACTCTCGTTGGTGAAGTAATTATCGTAGATTAGTATTAATAATTGTCTCGACTAAAGAACTAAATAATGATGTAAAAATGATGTAAGCTTTAAGTCACTCTTATGTGATGTAAGCGCTTACCTCATTTAGGTTGTATTATTAGCTAATATTATTGATTGCTTTTGTCATGCTTATGTAATGCTTATGCAACGGTACTTTTTCCTTACCTATAAAAGGAAGGCTCCCTTTCATTTGTAGATCATCTTGAAAAATAAATAAAAGCTTCTCTCATATATTATCTCTTGTTCTTAAGTTTGTTCTTAAGTTTAAGTTCATACTCTTCATGTTCTCTTATTCTCGGTGACCATATCTCCTAGTTCTAGTCATCCATTATCGACCCTAGTCTCCCAGTCTTAAGAATCACCCATTGGTAACACCAATTATAATTGAAATATAGTAATCTTATGGACCAAAATTTAACATAATCATTTTGATTGTAATGATGATAAACGAGTAAATAGTTAAGTTTTAACAGGAAATTTTTCAGAAAAGAAAGAATGTTTGCATTCTCTACAGAGGGATGCAAGCCTATTGTGTATTTGAGTATAGGTGCTACACCCATTTGACAACTGAGCTACATGACCAAGGGCTTTTTGTTATCCATTTAAAATAACTTTAACACTCCGCTCACCCGATGCATTGCACGGGCACACTGCTAATTAATATAATATGCATTAATTAAATTATATTTTAAAGAAAAATGACATAAAAGTGGAAAAAGTCTAAAATAGGCTTCACTTAACGGTTCTTTTACAGCCGTCAGAGCAAGGGATCAAATTTGTACGCTTCTACAAACCACGATGGTCATCTTGTATTTTCGAAATTGCAAGAACAAAATATTATATTTGACAAACTATATGGACCAAATTTGTTGTTTCCTCTTAACTCTTATTGAGTAAATTACATCGTAGGATCCTTGGTATGCTCAGAATTTGAATATGGACCAATAATATGGTTCACTAGATAACCGTTCGGTAAGTAATACTAGATAACATTTGATAAACGGCTCCTTTAACCTTTAGGGATCAAAACAAAACAAAAAAGACATGGACCAACAATATAATTCACTCTAATAATGATGATGAGCTTACAGTTTAGTTCTTGGTTTTAAATTTTTTAGAAACTGATTTCCGGTTTAGTTCTTGTTCATTTTTTTTTCAAAAAATTGGTTCCCTATTCGATTCAAAATTGAAATTAAACCATTTTTTTATATTTCTTAAGGTTAAAACTATATTGTTTAGTTTTGGATAAACCTAAGTATATATTTAATTACAGACGCGTAATTTAGAGCAATTGGATTTTCGGATTCAATTGATTGGTTTCGGATTCGATACTGTTGAATGTTATCTGTTTTTAATCAAACTATCAGGCTAGTTAAGATCAAAACCAAGAATAGTTGAAACAAAGGGGCATATACCACCTTTGAAAGCATCCCAACCGTATTGGTCCCACAATCATTATGAGAGACGAAAATCACGGTGTCCATAAGTGGATGGTGCATAAATTTAAGCCTGAAACTTCCCACTTACAAGATCTTAGCAAAGGTGGGTTCCAACCTTTCATATGTACAATTTTTCAAGCAAAGACTAGAACAATATCATTAAATAACCTTGAGGGAATGCTCAACTGACATAAATAAAGGCTAGGTCTTGAGGCTTCTCTTTATAAATCCGTTAGATCGGATCTACTCTGGATCACTGAAGATTTCCCTAACTGTTATCTTCGAAATCCCATGGGATTAAGTTGAGGTGCGCACAAATCGACTCGTACACACATCATTACAAAAAGGGTAAAAGAACAGATCAGCATTCGAGAATAGGGAATCCTACACGCTTTTAAAGGAAAATTCAAAGGGTTCCACATATTCCAACAAGAAAAAAGAAAAGATCTCATGTTTTAACTTTCATACTGTATAATTTAATTTCATTGCTAAATATGATAATATATCGTAGTTTTACATTTCTAACCCGATAGCAGTAAAGCCGACAAAAGTTCAAAATCGTTACAAGAACATATAAAAACGACAATTATACGTGGCTAAACAAATTACAGTTGCAATTAAATTTATAAATGAAACACGGATAAAGAATACCTTTTTTCAGGAATCTAGAGACACAGAAGGCGGGACTTCTATTCGATGGCATACGTTACTGTTTCTACCTCTGTGGGACGCCAAAACGTTTTCTCGACACATAACATCCCCTCGTTGTCCTTGTTGTAACTCAACCGAACCTTCCAATGCAAAGATTTTGCCATATTTTCAACCTCAGCAATGGTCTCAACTGTATCACGAACAATCAACTTGCCTTCTGGTCTCAAGATCCTATCAACTTCTGCCATTAATGATTGTAACTTGCACCTGTCACAAGAGAATAATCTTTCAATTTTAATCCCCACCAGAAAAGATAGATGAATATATGATCGTTGAAAAAGTTGATGGCTCTACGTGCAACAGATACATTACCTTTTCTTGACATCAGAGAAAAGATGATCGGCGTGAAGAAGATCATAGGATCGTGGGTACGTGCTGAATGATTCACACCAATTATGATATATACCAAAGAGTCCACGTTCGTATATAATTGGAAGAGTATCTGGTGAATCAAGAGGTACAACGTTCATCACCCAAACTTTCAGATCCCTCAATGCAGCAGCAAATCTAAAAGTATTTGTTAAAAACCATAGTAAGTATAGAAATTTCAGAAGTAACACTAAAAAACAAATTAAACCAGTATATCCCACTCGGAGGTGGGGTCTAGGGGGTATGATGTAAGCAGACATGACCTCGACCATGAAGGGTATTGTAAAAGACAGAAAGGTAGATATGACAAACTTTGATTCAGAAGCAACGCTCGTTCGTTTTTATTTTCTTAGAGCATCTCCAATAGATTCCTTAAAATGGAGATTTTAGGCTACTTTTTTTTATCCAACCGATTCTTTAAAATGGAGAAGGTAGGAAAGAGAGGATAAAATCATCCAAATTTGAAGAACTCCCTAAAATTAAATGTTAAAGGGAGATTATTGTTGTATTATTGTTTCCACCAATGAGATTGAATTTATTAATATTTTATATAAAAAATATTAAAAGTTTATTGGGATGATAAATTATAAAATATTTTTAATGATATAATTAATGTTGAAATCTCCAAAATAGAGAAACTGTTGAAGTTAAAATGTAATGTTTTTTTTAGAGATTTGAACTTTTGCTTCTCTATTTTAGAAACATTATAGAGAATTTGTTGGAGATGTGAATTGACTTACCCTCCATATATAGATCGCATATCCATTACATTTCTGACAGAAGACCAATCGATTCCTAATCCGTTCAAGTATGACTTTGACACCACTCGTTTCCAGTTCTCATAGTCGGCAGTGAAGTCCTCCGGAGCTGGTTTTCCATAAACTCCAACCTCACTACTCTTTAACCAGTAAGGTGGTGACTCCAACCTCTTTGGCCACCTTTTTGGCCATTTTGAGCCACGCACTGATCCATCGACAGGGACTCTATGCATGCATGCTTGAAGTTGCACATTCCTGTATACACAAATCGTGTCAAAGATTACCATATTTGGCATAGAACAAAATAAAACGAACCCCGTAAATCCCATGCAGAAGTAGGGCCTATGCAGACTTTATCACATGCACCCACCCTATCCTGTGGAAATGTTTTAAGGGTATTAAAGGTGCACCTGCTTTAAATTGATGTGTACTCCTCATAGTTAACCAAAAACTGGTTGTAGTTACAATAGTGTCATTGCAACTGGCAGTATAGTTTGCAAGTTCGAATCTCTCTGGCTATTTTTTAATTTTTTGGAACAACTGCAGGAAAAAAGAAAAAAAGAGCAAGGAAAACCCCACTTGTATGTTGCAAAAACCACTTGTTTGTATTTTTAATGAAACCATAGTTTTTATAACCAATTATTGTTTTATTTTATATTATGATAATTATTTTGTGCGCCCGCTTGGAAATTTTTGTGTATCGGCCTCACAAGTAGAGAGGCTTATTACGTGAAGACCTCTAAACAAATAAATAAAAGAACAAGGCAGGTGAGAGTGTGTGCAAACAAGCAAACAGAAAATGCATAGAAGCAGATGTAAGGGAAATAGGTCATACAAACAAGGGAACAGAAAACAAGGCATAAACATTTAATAAAATTTTCCTAATATATAACATAAAAGTCTTACCATACTGCATCAGGATCATCGTTTTTTTCACATAGGGGTGGATCATTTTGTTGTCTGTTTTCATAGCACTCGTTAGATGTTGGTTTTCTGTATATTGCTGCACCAACCTCGTTCAATTTATCATTGTTGACCACCACCAAGTCCCAGCACATAGCCTTCGTTAGTTTAGACATGGCTGCCACAAGATCGAGTTAAAAACAATTAATCCTTCCATCCCACAAAAAATGGAACACCTTTCCTTTTCAGGTTGTCCCAAAAGAAATGCTACACTTCTTTTAGTAAGTTCTCAGTCAAAGTTTTACTCATTTGCCCATTAGTAATTATTACTTCAGATTCGTAACTTTGGCTTTTGGTTCACAACTTTTCTTTATCTATATGACCCATCTGAAGGTAGGGTCTCCCACAAGACAGAGACTTGTTTCTGAGAGGACCTCTGTCTTGAATAAAAGAAAAAGATATTTTAAATTCATACCTTCCCATATTTCCACATCTTCGGGCTTATTTTGGTAAACTGGAGTTGCAGACCACACAAAATAGCCACCAGGTCGTAAGACACGGTTGAGCTCTAACAAAAGTTTGCCTCCTGTAAACATATTTCGTTAATATTCCATTCCAATCACAAATGAAATCCTGCCCAACGTCACTAAGAAGAAAAAGAAAATAACAGTCATAAAAGAACACGATTAAAGTTCACCTTCAATGTGCCATGGGACTCTGCATCGTGCACAATGAACAACGTCAAAGATCTTACTTGGGAAGGGCAGCCTCTGGGTACCCATGACAGCTGAAATGGCAGGAATACCCCTTTCCAGTGCAAATTGCACTTGAGCTTCATGCTCATCCTTGGGGGCAAATGACAATGCAACCACATCTCTCTCAAAAAGATATCCCCCAAAACTAGCCACTCCACATCCAACATCCAGTATCACTCGGGTCCTATTACCCCATGCCAGATCAGGAAGTGACTGCAATCATGGAATACAAAATGCAATTAGAAGCCCAAAACAATCTAAAGGGAAAAGGCTTATTAGGAAAGCGTAGAACTCGTAGATATTGGAACCAAATAGCAACATATAACGAGACTTACGTTTTGGATGAAGTCGATGTAGTGAAGAGCTCCATTCTTGAATTGGGTACCTCCACCAGGAAAGGAAAGGTAGTCGCCAGTCACTTTGACCCAATTTTGATGTCCTTTCACTGCAGCTAGCTTGGTGTGAGGGACATTACTGTACCATATCTGAAAAAACACAGAAATAAACCATTTTAGCAAGCAAAAGGACTTGTTATCATAACAGAACTTACTTCCATCTTTTATCTAGAAAGTAATTAGAAATCAAACTATACCACATTCTCTGAAAAAGATAATAAAAGATCACCTGTTCTCTGCTTCTAGGCCACTTGATTGGTGTTTTATATCCTTCAGGAAGAGAGACAAGGCATGTAGGGGACTCAGCTGGGCAGTGCCTTTCCCTGTGTTCATAGTGGCTTCGACCATGAAGGTGTCTAATGGCTTCCAAATTGTCAAGACAAGGAATATAATCTGGGCCAGCAGTCACATTACAAGTCTTCCACTTGTAGACTTCTTGGTTCTTCGATAAAGATGGCTTTTGGGATTCTTTTTCACTTTCTGACTCAGCTGCTTGAGTAGAAAAGGCCCCATTTTGAGTGTTTGATTCTTTTAGAATCTCAGATTGGGTTGCAGCAGAAAGATCTTCAGTCTTGTTATCACTAGAGCTTTCTTCTGCTTGCTTTTCTTCTGCTTGCTTTTCTTCTTCTTTCTCAACCTTCTCTTCAGATTGGCTCTCATCTTTAGCCTCATCTGACTTCTCTGTTTCATTTGTGTCAGAATTCGAATCATTGTCTCCAGAATTACTCTTCTCACTTTCATTTGAATCAGAATTTGAGTTTGTGTCCTCTGAATTTGACTTTTCATCACTTGAACTAGAATCATCTCCTGTGTTTGTTTCAACATCATTTGTGTTAGATTCTTTCTCATCAGAATTGGTATCACCTTCACTTGAAGTATTTTCTTGATCCTTCACTGCATCATCAGGAAGATCACCAGAATTATCTTCAAATTGGGAAGACGATTTTGTGGACACCTTTTGCCTCGATTCTGCAGAGGGCAGGTCAAGATTTTGACCAGGGGCAGCCGATGATGACATGAACATCCATACCCCAACTAAACAAACTCCAACAACAACTACAATTGTAGCTGTGGAACACGATGATTTCCTCCCATCGACTCGGGAATATTTTCCCTGAGCCATGACTCGAACAATTGTGTTTCCTGTATAAACCTGAAGGGCCAAATTGAAAAGTTAACTTTTTATTACACTTGCAATGCACCAACGAAACATAAAATGTATTTAACAACAAAAAGTAGACAGCACACACACAAAACAAAAGGCCATTGAAGCAGCATATCGTAAATAAATCTCCCCTCCACTTAAAGATTATATAAAGCTTAATTCAACTTATATGACTTCCTCCTCAAACTAGAGTCTACTCTTGAGCTTTACAAATCTAATGAGCTACTTTTACCACCAAATCTGTCGATAATCGATATGCTTTATCCAGAGCTGAAAACATGAACATCAACTGTGAATTTGTGAAACACTAGTTCTGAATTTCCAGAATTGAAGATCAAAATCTAATCCACGGATGGAGGGGATACTGAAAACATGCAAGGGTCTATGGATTTGCTGGATCTGAGTAAAAACTATAAAGAGAACGCTAAAAGACTGAAAGTGAGAGATTTATGTAAGATTATTTTGGGTTCTTGCTATATGTGCATTAACATGCATGTAAACACCAAACCAAAACTATTACAGATTTAACTTCTTCCGAGGATCTCATCCAATTCAAAGTTCAACTATCGTATTGATCTAGCTACCACAAGAACATAGACACCTAGATAGTTTACATTTGAGTGTGATATGAGTTCTTTCCATACTTGAAACATCAATAAGATTTCACTCCGATTGTAGATCAATATATGAGTATGACATTGAAATACAAGAATCTATTGTAGTAGTACTAGTACAACACTTAGAACCCAAAAGTTCAAATCCGAATTTGGAAAGTAAATCGCTTTAAATTACAGAATTGGAAGTGGACTTCATTTCATTAACACATGTTATAGGACCAAAATATTGGCTGGAATTTATCGAAACACTTCAGATCATAACTTCTAACCACTAATCATTCGAACTGGACTACAAACAACTAGATCAGTAATCAACTTAAAGCAAACATCCCAATCCACCACATCTTAGCTCTAAAAACATATTAAAAGAAGAAAAACGAATATAACATATCAAAGTTAGACCTGCAATGAAGTCTGAAGCACTAAAATCAGAGCATTATAGTATTCCAATCAAACTGAACGCAGATCAGGATACAAACCCAGGTGATTTATCAAAGAGCTGAGTAAAATTAACATTCTATATAACAAAAGTTTGATGGAAATATGGAAACATCATATTCGAGCAGAAAGAGCTTCACCTTTGGGATTGTTCTTAAAGATCTGACTAAGTGTTAAGCTTTGAAGATCATCAGCCTCAGAAAATGGCAAAAACCCAGTAGACTCTAGAGAGAGAGAGAGAGGGAGAAGGCTGATTGGGTCGAATTGATTAAGAATCTGATGGGGAAATATAGAGGGGGGATCGAGAGGAGTAGATCCAGTCGAGTGTAAATCGCACCGACTGCTTTATCTACAGGGAGGTATACGGTAGATCTAACGCGTTTTTACTTGAATACAATATTTTGTTGCATTTACACATTTTATTAAAAACAATATCTATATCTATCTATATTTATATTATAAAGCATTTGATCATAACTCTTAAAATTCGTTTTTTTATGCATGAAATACTGTTTATTGATACATATTACTTAAAATTCAAGATTACAAGTAATTCTCTCTAAATACAACTTATTAAAACTGCATTTTTAAATTCGTATAACTAACTACAGATAAACATAATCAAATATATGATAAATATTCATTTTAAACATATAAAATATAATTAAGATAATCATTGAATTCTAACAAATTTTTTAATTATTATCTTTATAAAAAAAATATTATTAAACCAAAAATAAATTACTTTGTTATCAAATCTAAATCTAAATTATAATAAAAAATTGAATTAAAAAAATTATATAAAAAAAACAAAAAAACTATTAAATAGTTAATTATATACTAATATCGATTTTTTTTTCAAATTTTTATGTTATTTTCAAATTTATATTTCATTCACTTTCTCAAAACCACATAAAATCGTATTATATCGATAGAGACAAATAATAAAACTTAAACATTAGAATGAAGATGTATCTCGCTGCATTGTGCGGGTACCCTTTCTAGTACTATATAAAGCATTCGACAAAAACTCTTAAAAATCAATTTCCATGCATGAAGTACTGTTTATTGATGCATATTACTTAGAATTCAAGATTAGAAGTAAATTGTTAGTAAGTACAACTTATTAAAGCTCAATGTTTGAATTTGTGTAATTAACTGCAGAATAACATAATCAAATACAGGATAAACATCTCATTTTAAATGTAAAAAATCTAAAATATAATTAGAATAATCATTGAGTTCTAACATAATATTTTATTACTATCTTTATAAAAACTTATATTATTAAACCTAAATTAAATTATTTCGTTACGTTAAATTAAATTAAATTATAATAAAAAATTGAATTAAAGAAATTACACAAAACAAGAACTTTTAAATGTTAATTTGATACTAATATCGATATAGTTTTTTTCAAATTTCTATGATATTTTATTCAAAAATAAAAACATTATTGTTTTCTCAAAACCAGATAAAACCGTATTATATCGACTTAGATAAAGAATAAAACGAAACGTTGAAATCGGGATGTGTCTCGATGCATTACACGAGTACTCTTCTAGTTACCTTATAAACCAGATTTATCAAAAGCCTTCAAAACAATTTTTAATGCATAAAGTACTATACATTTATACGCAAAGTCTTAAAAGTTTTAAAAATAACTCATAATGCATTAAGTACTACTACTTTTTGCATTCAGTATTAAAATCTCTTAATCTACAATTAAAATAACATATTGTACAATTTACCAATACATATTGTTACTTTTTTCTTTTCATGTTCCCAAAATACTTTTGACACATTTCACGCATGTTTTCACTTTCTCATACCTCTATGTCTTATTTCCATCCCCCAATGTGAGATTCAAACTGATATTCACCATGAGTTATTAAAAGTTCTCTCATTCAATTGTTCTAGAACTCTCGATCTCGCTCTTAATCTCTTGATTCTTTGCTCTTGGTGTAAATCGAACACATTTATGGAGTCGTTTAAATATGTTGGATTTTATATATATTGGATTTTAAATTGTCATACAATTTTTTTCATCGATAGACTGTAATTGGAATCATAACTCTTATTTATTCAAATTGTATTAATATGTAAAGACCAAGTGTAACTTATATCATCGTTAAATCTTTTTTAATAAAATCAATGAAACTTCAAAATCGTTAAAATTTATGGCTCCCGCCGCATTGCACGAATACACAACTAGTTATTATTAATTTAGAAAAACTATTTTTTTTAAGGAAACGAAATCAAGATTATCAATTGAAGTACAATAATTATAAGAAAAATAGGATTTTCTATTACCAAAATTTACAACCGTTTACATATTTTCTGTAGACTTAAAATAGAAAGTATTTATACCTTTTGAAATAAAATCAATCATGATAAAATATTTGATGTTAACATAATCAATATTTATATTAGGAAACAATTGAGATATTATGAACAATGATCATGGTACATTATAATCAATAAATTTATATTATAAAACAATTGAGATATTTATGCAACTGGATATTCATCAAGTTAAATTGACTATTAAAATTAGTTTGTATTTGAAAGTCCTTGTATATAGAAGGTCAATTTGCGAGAAGGCGATAAGTTCCAAGATCATGTATCATTTGAACATGATCGTGTGTGTGTGTGTGTGTATATATATATGGTTGAAGACAATTAATATTTTGGTGAGATTGTGAGAATAGAAACATTCATGTTCATTCATTTATCATCTACCTGCATTTAAGAAATCTTCATCTACTTTCATTTACCTTCATTATTTATTTCTATCATTATGACTCAAACCTTAACAAATTAATGGATGTGAACGGGTTAAAAATATGCAAATCATTTGTGATTTACTATAATATCACATGTGAGTTGGCTCTTTTCGTAAATTGACTGTATTTTCATTTGATCGTATATATATATATATATATATATATATATATATGAGTACTTCGTTTATTATTGCTATTCATAGTGATGAGATTTTTAAATCACATATGTATGTTGAAATTTGATTTTAAATTAATTACTATATAATAAATTTTCTAAAAGGAACACAGATATCATCACCTATCACCTGTTTTTAAAAGCAATAATGATACTTTAATTATGATGTCTTCTAAATCTAAATTAAATATGTATTTATTCTTAGAGTTAAAAAAATATATTAGTTGAATGCAAAACTTAGGGCCCGTTTACTAAACATTTACTTGATAAGTGCTTACAGGATATATTTTATTGGATGAATATGAGAAGGATCAAAAATCTTACAGGATAAGAGCGATGAGAATGATGAAGAATTTTACCCGGTAAGTGAAGATGACGACTCTTACCCAATAAATTATTGCATTTGATATGTTTTGATGTACTAAATTTTTACGCATCAAAATAAATTATAGTGTTGATTCATATTGATAAACGCTTACCGGATAAGCATTTGGGTAAACGACCCCTTAATTAATATCTTATTATTATTAAAATAAGATAAGTTTAAATGAAAACGTTAAATAAATAAAAAATCATAAAAAAATGGATGAAAAATATATCAATGTGGATGTTAAATTAACGAAAAAATATGATATTTTTTGATGTAATTTAATTTTTTCGAATTTTGCTTATTCATTCATCTTTTTTTAATATTATTGGGGTGAGGTTATTTAATTTAGAAAATATTGTTTGTAATTAGATCAATTAATCTAACGGTTAATAAACTGTTTTCTAGTTTTTTATGCATTTAAGATTTTTTTTCTGAATCTCCCTCTCTTAAATTATATTTTAAATATTTTTATATTAGTTGCATTTGAAAATTGATCTTGCTTTTATGTTTACATTTTCTAATGCAATTTTAGATATGGTGGATAACTCTTAGGGTGCTTTTTGTTCACATAATTTTTTGAAGGAATAGATTATTTTAAAAAAATTAAATATCAAATCTAATGCTATTAAGGTTTGACTAAGTGTCTGATTGGAAGAAAATAAAATGTAATATATCGAATAAATTGAAATTTGTATATTTCATTTACAGAATAGAGCTTATTAATTGGAAGAAAATAATGAAAAGCCCAAGAACTCAAACCACCAACTCCGTTCATTGCCTTCTCTTCAGAGCTCCAATTTTGTTTTTTTTATTAAATTATAAATAATAATAACAATAAAAACTAACATTTAATGTGAAAAAATATGTAAACTAACATTTATTAAATCAAGAATAAATTGCAGATTGTATATACTCATGTTCATATGAGAATAGTAACAAATAAGATAATACGAAAATGACGAATGACATGCGATTTTACACTAAAATCACATGTGATTCACATGACTTTGGCCACGACTTGAGGTCGCAGGCCAGGTAGCCTGCTCGACCTTGCGTTTATTGTGTTCCGTAAACGCATGTAAAATCACATGTGATTCGGCCAATTTCTTGTTCCCGTACTTTGACTATGTTCTTGTTTGATCATGCCTCTCTCTCTCTCTCTCTCTCTCTATATATATATATATATATATATGTATATATATATTGAGAGCTTCGAATAATATAGGGAAGGTAAGAAATGAAGGTCCATATGTGAATTATTGAAAAAATTCATTTGAAGATACATATGTGAACTCATATGTATAATTTGTAACGTTGATGTTGTATATATAGTCTTCATAGTGAGATTTTGTTCCACTTAGAAAGGATAGTGAAACCTTGCTTGCATTCTGAGCTATATATAAGTCTTAAGGATTGGCACTTGTCCCACACAGGAAGAGTGATAAAATCTTCCTTAGATCATAAAATATGATCTTCTTGTTGAATTATTTAAGAGATTAGGTGCGATAAGGATGACCTTCTTGTTATGGTTTAGACAAACACTTGTGCGGCTTTCCTTGTGACATAAGGCACCAAAAAAGTGGCATACCTCTCTACATTTTTCCTACGAACAGTATCATGTTCTGCTTTCCATGCAACATAAGTCACGTGGAAGGTTGCCTATCTCACTGTGATACATTTTTCTAACCGTTTTGACAAAGTTTTTGTTGGTTTTTCTATTTGGATAAAAACCTAAAACGATTTTATCTAGATTCAAAACAGTTAAGGACATAAACCCATATTTATGTGTTGTCATCTTATCATTTAAATATTTTTCTAATTAATCCTCTCATTATCTCCGTACATTTTTCTGCAGGTAGTTCATTGAAGAACATATTTGGTTGTTAAATATGTTCTCTTGATTAGGTAATCTTGGGGTGTATTAGCCAAAACCCAAAGTAGAGGCTAATAATATTCCAAGGACGGTGATCAACCATGTCCTAATAATTGATTTATGTATTCTTGTTCTCCTTCTATTCTCTTCCTCTAACAATCG